TGTATGTGTGTGCGTGTGTGTGTGTGTGTGTGTGTGTGTATGTATGTGTGTGTGTGTGTGTGTATGTATGTATGTGTGTGCGTGTGTGTGTGTTTCACTCAGCAGTGACTCTGTGCCTATACTGGACGGTGAGTGTGTGTGTGTGTGTTTTTGTGCTGTGTGTGTGTGTGTGAATGTATGTGTGTGTGTATGAGTGTGTGTATGTATGTGTGTGTGTGTGTGAATGTGTGTGTGTTTTTTGTATGTATGTTTGTGTGCGGTGTGTGTGTGTCTATCTGTCTGTCTGTTTCTGTAAGTATGTATGTATGTTTGTATGTGTATATGTATGTATGTATGTATGTATGTATGTATGTATGTATGTATGTGTGTGTAAATGTGTGTCTGCCTGTCTCTGTGTGTATGTGGTTGCGTTTGCGTGTCTGTGTGTGTGTCTGTGTGTGTGTCTGTGTGTGTGTCTGTGTGCGTGTCTGTGTGCGTGTCTGTGTGCGTGTCTGTGTGTGTGTCTGTGTGTGTCTGTGTGTCTGGATTTTCAATGAGGTCACACTGTATTCTTTCTCCTTCCCCTCCAGATTCCATCCTGGGCTACACGCAAGTGGAAAAAATTGAATGTAAGTTTTCGTGTCAATATAGAGTCTTGTCTTGGGTAGATCATGCTTTGGGTCGTTGGTGGGTGCTCTGGTGTGGTTTGCTTCTTTTTTCGCGTCGAAGTATTTGCCATCCTTATACCACCCCATTCTGTTCTCTGTACGTTACTTTCTAGTTGCACGGATGAACTTCGGCACATATCTATGTATTGCAAGTGTTGTAACATGTGTGTTTATTTCTGTTGCCCCCCGGGCGGTGCTACTGACAAGTGTCTTTAGGCCATTCCCAAAGGGGGGACGGTGCCATCTCTGAGTTCTTATGTACAGTGGAATTGTAATTGTTAATGGGCCGATTCATGAATGTCACGCTCATAACTGTGCCTGAACTGCAACAGGGAACTGCTGCTTTTTCTTTCCTCATCCTTGCTCTCATCATTTTCCCTCTACTTCTTTT